TGTCCGATGTCTTACGTTATGTTCCCCACTCTTCCCTCGTCCCACATCTTTGACCATCTCCTTCTCCTATTATCTTGCTCTCGCCAAGATGTGTCTCTTCATGCTCCTCGTCGTTTCCTTCTTCTCCCCGTTACTCCTCCCCATCCCTCGTCTTATCGTCATTCTCGTCGCTGGCCTCGCATTCGTCGTCCACCTAGTCCTCCCAGTTATGAGTTACCCGCTTCCAGATTCCATCCTCTCTAGCCGAGGCCCGAGAAGTGTTACATCAAAAGACGCCACAGCCATATCAGCATGACATTCGTGCGTCGATCCAGCGAGCCTAGGCGTCCGACCTTGATCATCACCTTCTTCTCCCACCGGAGGCCTCCAGAGGCCCAATGGCATGGCCGATACCGCACAGCAGCTTCGGATCTCGATCAGCGAGCGTCGATCCTCCTCTCAACCGTAGCCTCGCACGCCCCAGCGACGTCAGGGTGGCCACGGCCTTCAACGGAGCGTCGGCCGTGATCTTGACCGTGGACCGCGCCAAGGCGCTGTACCAGGCGCGCGCAGCGCGGATCGGAAGCGACGGCTCGCGGCCGCTGGCAAGGTCGAAGTCTTGACAGTTCGCGTGCCCCCACCAGCTGTTCCGGCAACGATTTCTGGGGGGAGCTGCCTTGATCATGCAGGTGCCCGGGAGGAGGAGGAGGAGGAGGAGGAGGAGGAGGAGGAGGAGGAGGAGGAGGAGCGTACAGTGACACAAAGAGGGAGGGCTGCCGCCCTGTCAACGTCGCAAGCCTCTGCCGTATCCTCTTCGGTGAGCTGCAGGGCCTCCCGCCGGTGCGCCGCGAAGGCCCTCGTGGTTGGCTCTCCTTGGGATCTCGTGGCAGCAGGCTGTGCGAGAAGACACCAGGAGTCGACCAACAAAGGCCTCTGCTTATCGCAGGCTATCTGTGGGCTCGGTCCTCCTCCTCCTCCTCCTCTTCCTCTTCCTCCTCCTCCTCCTCCTACCATTTTGGCTCAAGTCATTTTGGCCTGAGCAGGCGACGGTGAGGCGGCCCGTCCGTATCCCCTCCACCCAGAAGTTTCCTTTTTCAGGCTGCTCGTTCCGACACCTATCGCAGCCTCCTTCTCCGCTTTACACTTTGGCGATTTCTTGCTGCTCGCGTCTCGCTCTGTGTCGGCATCTCTGGCTGCTGGCTACGGTGGTGAGTCTATGGCCAGGCGAGCAATCAAGGAGCTCTACAGCGAGCTGGGTCTCCTGCGCCAGGAGCTCTCTGTCCTTCAGCAACAGATCCGATCGTCTACACGGGCGAGGCTTGTGCTGGACGCGCTGGTCCCAGAAAAGACGGGACAGGAGAATCAACCGTTCACCCTCTCGGTCACGGAGGCCGGCATGGAGATGGCTGCCGCCGACAAAATGGAGGTGAAGAGCTCCTACAGCTTGCCGTCCTCGGAGGTGAACCGCTACGTCACGGAGCCTGTCATCACCGCGACCCCCGCCGCCCTTGTCGGCCTGGAGAACCTCCACGGGGAGTTCCACGGTGACTTGATGAAGTCGCAATGCAACGGGGAGGACCAGGAGGAGCTGATCGAGGAGATCCAGACGGACCCGTTTCCAGACATGGGTACGTACATCGTGCTGGCGCCCGCCCAAGCTGCCGCAGCAACCTCGCCTTCTGCCGCTCCTACCACTACTACGTCAGATCAGGCGCCTGGTACCGAGCCTGGCACAGATGATGCGCGGGCGGGACGACCCCCCCTGGCCTCAGTGCAGGAAGATGCAGTTCCTGGACCAGATATCGTGGACTCGGCCGTCACATACGCGGACCTAGAGATCGCCACCATCGAGGGCACGAAGGTCGTCAACCCAGCCAGGATGGCAGCCGCCTCGAACGCCTGGGACGAGCTGCTGGAGCAGGCCGAAGCCAAGAACTTCGGCAAAGTCGCCGACATCATTGGTCAGTACCCCGAGCTGTCTCCACGGATGCTCGTGCTGAAAGAGCACCTCGTCGCCGCTTCAGACACGGTCTTATCGACTCTGCTGGAGGAGGACATGCATCACCAGGAGCAGGTTGCGATCTTACGTGGACACGCACTGGCGCTGAGGGAAAGGGCCAGCGCTGCGGTCGAAGATCCCGCACTCCGCAAGGCTGGCGCTGGTCAACTTCTCCGTGACATCGAGGACAACCTGATTGAGATCGAGACCGCGAAGCAGGCCACACGCAGGAAGGCTACGATTGTGAAGCTCCGCCGTTCCCTCACCTTCGACATCTTCGATGCGGTCGTCAGCGGCGACAGCGACACGGTGTACAAGCTGCAGGCCAAACTGAAATCTCTCTAAGGTGCTGAGGAGGTTCGGGCTCGTCGCCGTCCTCCTCCGTGAAGGCGCCGCAGCAGGCCCGCTGGCCGCCTGCGCGACTCGTGTTCAAAGAAGGCTCCTTCGCACCGTCTCTTCTGCTTCTACTTGTTCTGTGCATGTCGTGAGCCATCCTGAGGCCTCTGTTGCTGCGTGCTCTTTCACCTTTTTGTGGTCCCCCCGAGTGGCAGGGACAGGCAGTCGTGAAGCGAGGTGCATCCAGTGTCATGTCTCTGAATTCAGGCTTCTCGCTGTTGAATTTACCCACTTTGCCGTGCCTCGGTCTCTGTGTTTCCTGCCCTGTCTTTGTCCGCCTTGGCTCTGCATGTTATCTGTCTCCGCCTGCATCGTCCTGTCGGCCTCTCTCTTGCACAGTGAGTCAGTTGCATTGCCATCCAGCGGGGGTCTCATCCTCAACGGTTCGCCGATGCTGAGTCGTATCGTATCGTATCCTCCTCCTCCTCTGCCTCCTCCTCCCCCTGCTCCTCGTACCCCCTTATGTGGATGTCCTTGTCCTTGTCCTCGTTTTGAAAATCCGTGGGGCTCTCTAGGGGCCTCCTGAGCCGATTCAGGAGGGCATCGATCACAGCAGGAGGTTTTACAATCAGCATGGTCCCGCCAGAGCCATAAGCATCCTTGGTTGGGGCTCTCTTGGGGTGCTCTTGGTAGCCTCGGTGGGCGTCGGTGAGCCCTTCTGGGTTCTTCTTGGGCTCTCTCTCTCTCTCTCTCTCTCTCTCTCTCTCTCTCTCTCTCTGGGGCCATCTTCAGGAGACGCCTCAACCTACTGCATTGCCTTAGTTGCTCGACTTGCGTCAGGCTTCTTTCGTGCATCGTTAGGACGCTCTGTGGCCATTTGGAGCCGTGTGGGGGACATCTTGTGACCTCATGGAGGCATGTTTGATGCCATGGTGGCCCAATGGATTCCATCTCGAACGTACCTGAAAGGAACCTGTCTGGAGACAAATAAGGCACAGCTCAGCATAAGGCTCACGCTGCTCTGCCTGCTACTACAAGGCTGTTGTTCAGCATCTGCTCGGCGCGCACGGGGTTGACATACGCGTGTGACGTCCTGCGTTCGCAGTCTCATGCAATCCCGTCGACTGGTCCAACTGTTCTTCTGCAGCGAGCAAGTTCGGAGTCCAAACTACCTTGAGGTCCCTGGAGCCACCTTGGTGCCACCTCGCGCCCGAGCAGGCCCGCGGGCCGCTCGTGGAACGGTTCTTTTGCAACGTGAGAGTTTAGAATTCAAACGATCTCGAGGTCTGGAGCCCTCTTTGTGCCCCCCTCGCGCGTCCGAGCGGGGGCCCGCGGGCGCCGCTCGCGGTGCCGCTGGGGAGGCGCAGGCCCCCCTCGGGGCCTGGCGAGGTCCCGCTCGAGCAAGCAACATGCCCGCTCGACGGGAGGCCGCAGACTGGCGGGGTGACTGTGAGAAGATCGGTGGCCGCACGTGAACCCTCTTCTGGTGTTCCTAGTAAGCGTGGGGGAGTGCTCCCCCCCGACGGGGGTCAGCCTCGCCTCGCCGTCGCGCCGCGGCGGGGGTCGGAGCGCCGTCGGTGCGCCGTGGCTGCCCGCGACGGGGGTCGATGTGGAGCTGTCGGCGGGGGTGACGCCCCCCCGACGTTTATTCAGAAGCACGCCCGCTCGACAAGATGCCGCAGACTGGCGGGGTGAATGTGAGAAGATCACTGGCCACGTGTGGCTGATTTCGGAAACCCTGAACCCCCCAACATCGTTTTCATATCTTGGGGACGCATGTTCTACTTCCGCCGCCTTCCGCCGAGTTCCCGCCTGCTTCCGCTGGCAGAGGCGGCATCGTTTTGCTTCCGCCGCCCTTCCGCCGCCGAAGAGATGCCAACTCTTCCGATCCTCGAAGGCATGGCCGTTTTTGGAACGCCACACGTGAACCCTACCCCCTCCTCACCCCTCAGAAATCGTGAGGGGGGGTTCACAAGTGGCCACCTGGAAGAGATGGTTTCACTCGGGCCGTGTTGTGGCTCCCCCGGACACTGCAGCCAAGGAGTGTTCGTGGGCAGTCGAGAGCGTCTTGCACTCTTGCCGGCTCGAACAATGCCGTAGAAAGATCAGGCAGGGCTCGAACTTGTTGCTGGCTCGAAAATTGTTGCAGAAACATGTTGCCTCGATACATGAAACATGTTGGCTCGATCAACGACGTATGAAAATTGATGCTCGAAGACTGCCGTAGATAGGCGCTGTCCCCCCTGCGGCGCTGGCCCCCACTAAGCCACGTCCGCCCAGACAGCAGGCGAGATTCTGATGGGAGGAGGACAGGGCACGAACCAATTCCTAGCCACTCAGGCTCGAGCCTCAAGTGGAGCCCGCCTTGAGCCTGGACTCACCATGCAACCGTCGAGCGAGCTCCGAGACCAGAAAAGCGCGTCGGTCCTCCCTCGCACCATGTGCTCTAGGAGGAACAGGAACGAGCCAAACTTTGATGGCAAGCACGCTTGGCCCGCTTGCGCCCATGGGCGCGTCGCGAACTGGGCAGGGCCGACCTGCTGCGCAGCGCCCCCCCCTGGGCGGCGCAGCCGCGAGCAGAGAGCGCGCGGGCGTGCCCGCGGGCGTGCGCGCACCCTATGAGCAGCAGCCTGGCGCGCCCGACGTCCAGAAGCCCTCGCCTCCTCTTCCTCCTCCTCCTCCTCCTCCTCCTCCTCCTCCTCCTCCTCCTCCTCCTCCTCCTCCTCCTCCTCATCATCATCTCCTCCTTCCCTCCTCCTCGTCCTCCCTCCTCCTCGCTCCTCCACCTCCTCTTCCTCTTCCTCCTCCTCCTCCTCCTCCTCCGCCTCCTCCCTGCTCCTCCTCCTCCTCGGACTCCTCCTCCTCCTCCTCTCCTCCTCCCTCCTCCTCTCTTCCCTCCTCGCTCCTCTCCTCCCTCTCCTCCTCTCCTCCCCCCCTCCTCCTCCTCCTTCCTCTCCTCCTCCTCCTCCTCCTCCTCCTTCTCCTCCTCCTCCTCCTCTGGGTCGTGGCAGAATCGCGACGGGAGGCGTGTGGCACTTGTGGGCATCCCGGGGGCTCTCGCTGGGCCCCAGGGCTCGGTAACAAAACGATTCGGGATGAAGAGCCAGTGCCATGGAGCGTGAGTCGCGACCTTGGTTTGTCCACGCCATGGACGGATCATGACGTCAGGGGTCTCGCCCGAAACGGGTGCTCCCAGGAGTTTTCGTTCCCTCAACTTTCCGGTTCTTCTACGAAAGATCAAGCCGCTCCAAAAACGAGGGAGACTCGGGGGTGCACCCCCCGGGGGCTATTCGGACGCACTCTTGTTGAAGAGATGCGCCCCACTATCCTATGCCCCCGAGTTAGGCCCCAATGTTTCGAATCCATTCGCAACCCCACGGAGTCGTCCTTATGATATGGGTTGACTGTATTCAGTGCGGGCAACCCGAGTAGCGGGTCGGTCGCAGACGGGGCGGCGGGACGGGGTGCCATAGTAAGCAAACAGCATGCTCCTGCCACGCACCTGAAACGTTTGGGGGGTGGCAACTGTTGCACCTAAAGAAGTTGTACATCTACGCCTGCGCGAAGCTGTTGCATCCAGCCCGCCAGCTGCTGCTTCTAGGCACAACCTGTTGCAAGGACGACTGCACCTCTCCAGCCACCCTATCTGCGCCCATCCCATAACTCCGGCTTGGATGTTGCGAGACACCTCCATCGGCCTTGGCCATGTCCGCCCTTGGCCAGCCTCCTCCTCGCCCATGTCGGGCGGAAATTCAGTGGCCTGCGGCGCAGCGGCCCATGCCGTCGCCGTGCCTTTGGAGCGTCTAGCGCCCAGGGCATGTTTGAGGAGCCTCGCGGAACGCCGCGGGTAGCCTTGGACAGTCCTGAACATGGTGCAACAGCTTCGGCAAGGACGTCAGATGAGGTCTCCATGCGCTTGACACGACAGCGGCTGGCAAGCAGATGCGGCCGCTACCGACCGGGGCAGGGGTGGCAGGTCGATGAGGAGCAGGGGGAAGGGGGAATCGGAGGATGAAACGGGGGACAAAGTAAGTGGAACATTAGCGGGAAGGTAGGCCTAGGAGCAGCAGGAGCGGCTACGCAGTGATGGTATACTTAAGCGATCTGAAGGGCCCGTCGTGGCTTGGCAGGCTGATGACGGCAGCATTAGCAGGTGAATGGTGGATGGCCTGAACCGTAGAGAGGGAGAACGAGAGAGAGAGAGAGAGCGAGAGAGAGAGAGAGAAAGCGAGAGTGAGAGCTAGAGCTAGAGCGAGAGAGAGAGAGAGAGTGAGCGAGAGAGAGAGAGGGAGAGACAGAGAGAGAAAGAGAGAGAAAGAGAGAGAGAGAGAGAGACAGAGACCGCTGTGGACAGAGTTTGTCCAGACGCCGTTTGGGCTGGCGGGGCGAGCGCCTAAGCTTTGTGGCCACGGCGGGCATTCAACGAGTGTCCTGGGTGAGAAAGAGAGAGAGAGAGAGAGAGAGAGAGAGAGAGAGACATGGAGATAGAGAGAGAGAGAGAGAAAGAGAAAGAGAGATAGATAGATAGAGAACGAGAGTAAGCTTGCGTTCGTTAGCTTGCGCGTGCTAGTGCGTCTGTGTTGTTTTGTGCGTTCGTGCACTTATTGCATGAGATGCCGCATGGGTCTGGTCTATATAGAGATATCGTCTCCGCCTTGCAAGGTGCGTTTGGATGACGGCTCCTCCAAGACAGTCAAGGCGGGCACGCGAATGCGCAATCCTTCCAGATTAACGTTCGTGATGATGGGCGCGGGGTCAGTTCGACTGTGATACTATCAACATCTTGTTACGTATGCGACCACACTTCGGATGATACGGAGATTGTTTGGGGGGCAATTGGTAGCAGCTGCGACGATTATGATGGTGACGATGCGGGTGATGCGGCGACGATGCGTGATGACGCTGGTGGGGCTATGGGGGCACCACTGGGGCACCATCGAAACAACATCGGACGGAGCATCTGAAGACACGGATGAGGGAAATAAATGATACCATCTCCAACCCCTCATCTATCTACCAGTCTCGCTATACATTGGTCTCACCAGCCGCCGTGCAATCGATCCCTCTATCTGCGTAGCGAATCCACTTTCGACCTCGCAATGGATCCTACTATCTATCGATCTGTGTCACTATCAATCGGTGATTGCGTCACCACCGCCATCGCTGGCATATGAATGCTACCACCGCCATTACCACCATCGCCAAGCCGACGATCGATCGATCGACACGAGACACCGCGAGACGCCATACATTCGATCTCACTGCCGATAAACTATCGATCTCACGACCGATCTCGTGATCGATACCACTCAATCGATCTCACAATCGATCTGACTATCGACACCCACGGGCCACCACGGGACACCGCGGGACAATGCGCCATTGGACACTACGGGACACCACGGGTTTCGCCCCAGCCAGGGCTGGATCATTCCTTCCCGCCCGCCCACGCAGCTTCGCCTCGCCCGCACGCACGACACGAAACCGAAACCGAATCTCCAGTTGGGGGGCTCTCCGTTTCATTGCGATCTCATCCTCCGGGCTCCGATGCATTGCAGGTAGTGGGGCAATCGCCGATAGCATCTGCAACATCACATACAGCAGCCAGCCGAGTGAATAATTGATGCCTAGAATGCGTGCGGTTTTCGTGAGAACAGTTCGGGGGCTGGCATGTGCGGGGGTGGTGAGGGAGGGCGGGGGGGATACCACGGCCACGAGTGTTCCTCGTCTCTAAGCAGGTCAGAGGCGCGTATCAGCAAGCACGGCTCGTCGTTTGGGGCCTTGAAGGGTGTGCCGGGCCGCTTCGACCGACTCGTTTGCGCATTGATGAATTCGTTTACCCCAGAGGTTGGTCGTTCGGATGTTGAGGGAAAACGGGGATTGCAGAACCTAGTGGAACAAGTTCAGAAGGCGATGCGCGCGTGCTGTCGGATGCAACCTATGGTACTCTATACTCGCCGGCTGCTCTGATGAGGCAGTGTACTTCAGTCCAGTTGTAGAGAGTGCTGATTTTGCGGTATCATTCAACATCTACGTGGATCCAGACTTGCTGCAGTAGGAGGGGCCCACCAGCGGCCCCTACAGCATTCCCAAAATGTGGATTTGGTTTCGTCTGGTAAGGTCCGCTCCTACCCCTACGCCGCACCATGCTGCGACGCTGCCCAATCATGTACTTGTTTGCGACCCTGCTCCTGGCAAGACGAGAGTCACTGCGCGCCTCTTCATTATTTTTGCAGGGAGCGCGGTGCGGTGACTGACGGCCGCCCTCGCTTGCCAGATGCGTCGAGGAAGCATTCGAGGTATGATGATTGATGCGATCGCGTGGGCCAACTCTCGGGAGGACAGGCGCCGAGGAGACATGGAGAGTCTTCCCGCGACCTGGTGCAGCTGCCCCCTCCCGACCTCCATTCCTCCTCCTCCTCCTGTTCCTTCTCCTTTTCCTCCTCCTTCTCCTCCTCCTCCTCCTTCTCCTCCCCCTCCTCCTCCCCCTCCTCCTCCCCCACCTCATCCTCCTCCTCCTCCTCCTCCTCCCCCTCCCTCTCCTCCTCCTCCCCCACCTCCTCCTACTCCTCCTCCTCCTCCTCCTCCTCCTTCTCCTCCTCCTCCTCCTCGTCCTCCTCCTCCTCTTCCTCCTCCACCTCCTCCTCCCTCCTCTCCGCGCGGATTTCTTGGATCCGCGCTGGGCACCCCCCCCGGCGGCGCCTCCTGCGCCGCCCCAGGCGCGTACCTCGCGCCAGGGAGGGGGGTCCAGCGCAAGAAATCCGCCCAGAGCGTCAACAAGTTTACGTGCTTGCCGTTGTGTCCATTTCTTTGTGTTATTATTCATATTATGCTTCTTGTTCTTCTTCACATTATCACGAATATTAGTTTGCGTATTAGTATTGGCTGTACCGTGGTATGATTTCTATTCGAATTGTTCATGGTAATATGATGATAACTATTTCCACTACTACGATTATAACTATTTCCACTACTACTACTACTACTACTACTACGACTACTACTACTACTACTACTACTACTACTACTACTACTACTACCACTACTACTGCTACTACTACCACTACTACTACTACTACTACTACTACTGCTACTACTACTACTACTAATACTACTGCGTTACTACTACTACTACTACTACTAACGACGGACGACTACTACGAGCTACTATATGACTACTACTACTACTTCTACGACTACTACTGTACTAATACTACTACGACTACACTTTACTATTACTATACTACTGCTTACGCCACTACTACTACTATATGACTATTACTTATACTACTCACAACTACTACTCACTACGTTACTATACTAATTACTACTACTACTACTACGACTTACATTACTACTACTAGTTACTACTACGACATACTACTACTACTACTACTACATATACTATACTACTGTGCTCTGACTACTCTACATACTACTAAGACTTTACACTACTACTACTATTCCCTCAACTACTTACTGACTCACTAATTACTACGATTTACTACTTACTACTACTACTATTACCTACTACTACGTACTTCATACTTACTTACTACCTACTACTACTTACTCCTACGACTGCTACTACCACTACTCCTACGCGACTGCCACTACTTCTACTATAATTACTACTACTACTACTACTACTACGACTACGACTACGACTCGACTACGATACTACTTTTACTATTAATAACTATTAATATACTTACTTACCACTACTACTATCTACTACTGCCTACTACCTGCTACTACTTACTACTACTAATACGACTACTACTTATCCTTACTACTACTACGACTACTACTAATACTATACTACGGACGACGACGACGACGACGACGACGACGGGACGACGACGGACGACGACCGACGACGACGACGACTACGACGACTACTACTACTACTATTCTACTACTTTTAATACTACTACTACTACTACTACTACGACTACTACGTACGACTCCGTACGACTACTACTACTACTACTACTACTACTACTACGACTACTACTACTACTACGACTACTACTACTACTACTACTACTACTACTATTACGATTACTCCTATATCACTACCACTACTACTATTACCACTACTACCACTACTACCACTACTACTACTACTACTACTACTACTACTACTACTTCTACTGCTACTAACACTACTACTTCTACTACTACTACTACTACTACTACTACTACTACTACGAAGACGACGACGACGACGACGACGACGACGACGACGACGACGACGACGACGACGACTACTACTACTACTACTACTAATACAACTACTACTACTACTACTACTACTACTACTACTACTACTACTACTACTACTACTACTACGACGACTATTATTCGCATGACTCATACTACTATTGTTACTATTCTTATTATTCGTATCCTGAGTGTTCGCAATATGGGCAAGAAAAGAATATGGGCAAGACAAGTCTGTGTTCTCGTCTTCTTATTCTGATTCCTCTTCTTCTGCTACCCCTGGACCCTTCCCAACCTCCAGGCCGGAGGACGTCGGCCCCGGACCCGTGTGATGGCGGGTTCGTGGCCACCGCGCGTCTCGGCCGCCCCCCTCCCTCCTCCTCCTCCTCCCCCTCCCCCTCCTCCTCCTCCTCCTCCTCCTCCTCCTCCTCCTCCTCCTCCTCCTCCTCCTACTCCTATCCTTATTCCTTTTTAGAATATACTCCTACTCCCCCCTCAGGCCGGCAGATAAGGGGCCCCATCCGGGTGGTCCCATCCTAACCTGTAAAAAACAATACAAAATCAATATTTTTGTTATTTTTTCCTCTCGACATGGACGTCCTGTCGTCCACGGCGATAATCCAAAGAGCACACGCGCGCGTTCATGTCAGAATCCTACCGAACACCGTGTGTTTGCAAGCATTTCATCATAAAAACATCAAACACCCAATGTTTTTTTTCACAAAATTTCTACAAATTTCCTGCCCGGGCTCTCTTGCTGAAATCATAGGAAAACCATAAGAATCTTAAGAATTCGGTCAAATCCAACGATTTCACGTCATCGCGCGGTGCACTCGCGATGCTCTGTCATGCACCCAGGCCGCGAATCCTGTGCAAAAAATACCACGCGGGCGACATGCGCGCGCGTCGCCGCGAGCGCATGCTCAAATCCTTCTAGAGTCGTCGCCGTCATTGGCACCGTCGCATGGACGTCCTGTCGTCCACGTCGCAAAATGCATGGCAGGAATGGGACGCGGCGCACACCCCGCGCCCGCCCATCCAATCCGTCCCATTCTAATCTGCAAAAGACAATACACAGTTTTTGTTTTTCTTGTCAACATGGTCGTGCTGTCGTCACGTCGCAAAATGCGTGGCAGGAATGGGACGCGGCGCACACCCCGCGCGAAGGGGTGACATGTCGATCTCGCCTCGGCGCCGCGCACCAACGCCTGCGGTGTACCGGGCCATTCTCGACTCGTCTGGCAATGCGTGCGCGGCATTCAACACGCGCTCGCCAGTTCCCGTCGGCAACCGCCATCGCGGCCGCATCAGCTGTACCAAACCGGCTGGCCGGTGTGACTTCGGCCCCCAGTTGTGCCAGCTTTGCTTCTTATGTTGTGGGAGGGCGGGTGGGACTGGGCATGCCATGCTTGACTCGCTCGAGCTGGCTAGCTTGACTCCTACTCCTACTCCTATCCTATCCTTATTCCTTATTAGAATATACTCCTACTCCCCCCTCAGGCCGGCCATTAGGGGCCGCATCCGGGTGGTCCCATCCTAACCTGTAAAAAACAATACAAAATCAACATGTTTCTTATTTTTCCCTCTCGACATGGACGTCCTGTCGTCCACGGCGATAATCCATTGCAAAAAATACCACAAAGAGCACACGCGCGCGTTCATGTCAGAATCCTACCGAACACCGTGTGTTTGCAAGCATTTCAACATAAAAACATCAAAAACCCATGCTTTTTCACAAAAATTCTACAAATTTCCTGCCCGGGCTCTCTTGCTGAAATCATAGGAAAACCATAGGAATCTTAAGAATTCGGTCAAATCCAGCGATTTCACGTCATCGCGCGGTGCACTCGCGATGCTCTGTCATGCACCCAGGCCGCGAATCCTGTGCAACAAATACCACGCGGGCGACATGCGCGCGCGTCGCCGCGAGCGCATGCTCAAATCCTTCTAGAGTCGTCGCCGTCATTGGCACCGTCGCATGGACGTCCTGTCGTCCACGTCGCAAAATGCATGGCAGGAATGGGACGCGGCGCGCACCCCGCGCCCGCCCATCCAATCCGTCCCATTCTAATCTGCAAAAGCAAATACACAGTTTTTGTTTTTCTTGTCAACATGGTCGTGCTGTCGTCACGTCGCAAAATGCGTGGCAGGAATGGGACGCGGCGCGCACCCCGCGCGAAGGGGTGACATGTCGCTCTCGCCTCGGCGCCGCGCACCAACGTTTTTCCTCTCAGCATGGACGTCCTGTCGTCCACGTCGCAAAATGCTTGGCAGGAATGGGATGCGGCGCACACCCCGCGCCCGCCCATCCAAACCCCCCCGTTATAAAAAAAACAATACAAGTTGGGGCCTTCTGGACGCCTCCTAATGCAATCCCATGAATCGTATGGGCGCATGGGGTCCCTTGGGGCCTCCTGGGGCCTTCTCGTGATGCCAGCTTTGCTTCTTATGTTGTGGGAGGGCGGGTGGGACTGGGCATGCCATGCTTGACTCGCTCGAGCTGGCTAGCTTGACTCCTACTCCTACTCCTACTCCTACTCCTCCTCCCTCTCCTCCTCCTCCTCCTCCTCCTCCTCCTCCTTCGCCTCCTCCTCCTCCCTCTCCTGGGGCGGAGGCGGCGGGCCCGGTTTCGTGCGGTGCCAGGCTCATGTGGCCACCGCGTGTCTCGGTCCCCCCCAGGGGCGCGACGATCGCTGCGAGTCGCGCGTCGCAGGCCCGCTGCTCTTCTCCGAGGGGGCGGCGCCCGTGCGCGGGAGCACGAAGATCACCGCGCATCGCGCAGCGCGATGCGCGACGTTGGGTGGTGTGCCGTTCGTCGCGTGGGGGTGTAGCAAACCAGAGATGCCGAAGCTTGCTGGCCTCAGCATGTGCCTGGACCCACGCCGGCAGCCTGCCTGATGGCGCAGGCCCGAATCAGGGGTGCGTTGCGGTCTCTGCTTTCTCTTCTGCTTCTCTCGGGAAAGCAGAATGTAGCAATACCGCTACTCCCGGGACCTCTCCGAGAGTGCGTTCTGACCAGGATTTCGAGGCGAATCCAGCGGTGGCGACGAGAGCCTCCGAGGAGGCCCAGAAATACGAAAACGAAAACGAGGGAAGTGTAGCGGTGTTGGGTACCTGTCCCTCCTCTGCTTCTCCCCGTCCGCCGCCCCCCTCTCCCCTCTCCTCGCCTCATCTGTCACGTGTCACGTGGTGCAGGCGTGCGTTGACTCCTTGCCGCTGTGGTCGCGCTCGTCCTCTTCCTTGCCAGTGGTCCAGGAAGGGCGTGGTAATTGAGGGGGGGGAGGAAGAGAACGAGGAGGAGGATTGGGGAGGAGGAGGACGAGGAGAAGGACGAGGAGGAGGAGGATTGAGGAGGAGGACGTGGAGGAGGAGGAGGAGGACGAGGAGGACGAGGAGAAAGGGGAGGAGGACCGCCGCCGCCCGCGCGCGGGCGTGTCCGCCGGAGGCCGAGAACGTTCGCTCCGGGCCGGGGCCCGGAACAGGCCGGGGAGGGGGGCGGCGGAGGCAGGAGGGCATGTCGTTGTCGCGATGATGTTTGCGTGTCGGCGTGCCGTCTGTTCCGACGCGCGGCCGTATTCGAAGAAGACGAAGAAGAATAAGAGACGCCATTAACATAACTTCTGGCGCTGAGCGCGGATTTCTTGGATCCGCGCCTGGGCGCGCTCCAGTGCAGATCCAAGAAAATCCGCGCGGAGCGCCAACAGTTTATGTTATGGTGTTTTTCTTTGTGTTCTTCTACTTGCGTCTTGGGTAGGGTGCCTCAGCCACCAGGGCAGACGCCGCCTCGGGCGCGGTGCATTTGCCGTGGGCTTGCCGCAGCGCCGTCCTCGTCTGCTTGGGCGCCCGACGCAGGGATTGCCATGGGTTTGCCGTGGTGTCGAGAGCAAGCGGCGCGGCGAAATATTGTCTCGGTATGTATTGTAGCTGTTCCACTCTTGCTGGCACTTCTTGGGTGCTTCGGCCTGCCCTGCGGCACCCTCGCGATGTCCGACGTTTCCCCCCACCCCCCTCCCTCCCCCAATCTCCGCCGCCTTTCTGCAAGCAGTGCTGAGCCGAAAAGGCGTGCAAGGGGGTCCCGGTCTGCGTGAAGTCCACATTCCATTTCGGGCCTTGCCCCGCCCCCCCCCCTCCGCCTCCCCTCCTTGGCAAGAGCAGTCAAGACCCTGACTCTGAGATATGGAGCGCTTTGGGTTCGGAAGGGGCCCGCTGTTCCTGAGGTCCTTCCGTGGTAGCTTCTCTAGACCTCCTCGTGCACCCAGGCATTGCTGGCGCCGAAAAGGGTGAAGAGGAAGAGGTGGGTCAAGAGGAGGAGGAGGAGGAGCAGGATGAGCAGGAGGAGCAGGAGGAGGAGGAGGAGGAGCAGGAGGAGGAGCAGACAGGGGAGAATGGCGAGAGGGATGGCGCGGCCGATGAGCAGAGGGGGCGGGGGGGGGGCCGGGGACGGGAGGGGGGCGGCAGGGCGGAGGAGGGGCGGCGCGCCGAGGAGGCAGGGCGACGGAGAGACTGTTGGAGAAGCCTCTGAGGGGAGAGGGGCGGGGTCCGAGACGGCTGCGTACAGTCGGGGTCGATTCGGGAGCCTTAAGACGGGGGTCCTCGTCGTCCTCGTCCTCGTCCTCGTCGTCGTGCTCGTCCTCGTCCTCGTCCTCGCCGCCGTCGTCGTCACCCCACCTGTGGGCTCGGCGCAGGCGTGCGGAGATCGGAGGGAGGAGGGAGGGAGCCTTGAGATCGGAGGGAGGAGAAGCAACACCAACACCACCAGGGGCCCCACCTCCAGCGAGGAGATCCAGGATGCCCCCCCGAGCGGGAGGCTGGGGATGTCTCCAGCGAGAGGGGGGGACCACATCACCCGGGAGACCCCCTGTGCCTCCGCGCATCTCCTCGCCCGGGTGGTGTTGGTGCCGCCTCTCCTCGCTCCTGTTGAGACGGGGGTCAATGCAAACGGGGGTCAGCCAGAGCGCCCGATATTGCAGGATCCTGCAGGGCCAGGGTCGCATTGACCCGGGCTTGGGTGCAGGATCCTGCAGGGTCCTTCGCATTGACCCTGGTTTGGGCGCAGGATCTCGCAGGATTCTGAAAGGCCTGATTGACCCGGGTCTGGATTGACCCAGGTCAGAAGATCCCCGATCGATAGGAGAGGGCACTCGGGAGGACGCGAGACCTTTTCGAGGGCCACATTGCAATGAATGTGGAAGGAATGGGCCGCGAAGCACGGGGCACAGGGATACCCTTTTTGTTGGCAGGGCCGACATACTAATCAGCCTCGACTGCATCCTTCGCCACATCCTGGGGGGGCGATCTTTGGGACCTCGGTAGGCGTTAACGAGCGAGTGAGGCTGGCCAGACGAGCTGGCTCGACCCACATCCTGTCGGCCAGCCAGGCGGTTACAGCCGCGGGCCGCAGCATAGGACGTGCTGCAAAATAAATGCATACTTGAGACACCTTCAGGGAGTTCCTCACCGCGCAAACTGTTCTGGCCTTGGGGGGGGAGCGGCACATGTCCATTTCCACCGTCTGCCGAGGTCCCCGCAAATCGACCCCACAGGCGGTGGTGATGGATCACTCCCCGCCTCGCAAGGGCGGGGGCGGGGGGAGGCAGGTCGGGGAACGGGAGCGAGCGGTAGGAGCAGGAAGAGGAGGAGGGAGGAGGAGGAGGAGGAGGAGGAGGAGGAGGAGGCTCACACGCCACTGCGCCTCAGGGAAGGCCCTGGGGTTTAGGGCTCGAGGCAGCATGTCTTTCAGGCTTCACAGACCAGAGGCCCCGTTCCTTGCACCATGGCTTGGACCTGGAACGCCGACTCCCCCCAGCGCAGCCAGAAGAAGCGCCCATACGTGGTTTGCAGCGGCTGTGGAGCATGGCAGTTTGAGTCCAAGGCAAACGAAAGGCATGGTGCAAGTGTGGTGAACCCTTCCATCTCAAGGAAGACTCCAGCCAGGGGAGCTTTGAAGCCACGGATATATTTACGCGGAGCCCAGGCAGCCCCGATGCCACTGACATGAAGAGCATCCTCACAGCCATCCTCGGTGTGTTCAGCGAGGCCCAGAAGAAGGAGCTAGGCCCAGCGGCCCAGTCGGCGGCGGCGCTCGTCACCGAGAAGAGGCCACCCCCCGCAGCAGCCGCCGCCACCGCCCTCCAGAAGGTCAGGCAGCACGAGAAGCGGGAGGAGGAGCTCGAGACTCAGGGCAAGGACCTCGAGGCACAGCTCCAGGAAACCCAGGTCGAGCGGGAGAAGGTCGCAGCCGACCTCGCCGAGGCCCGCAAGAAGTTCGAGGAGGCCAGCCAGCAGGCCACCGCCCAGTGGCGGCCGCAGGGCGTGGCGCCCATGACAGGGGTGGAGCCCGCAGCCCCGCAGGCCGCCATAGCGGCCGCCGACATACCAGTGCCAGGCAGCCCCGAGACGGCACAGACCCCAGACATCCCCGAGCTGCCGCCAGGGCTACGCGCAGCAAAGGGAGGACTCAAGGGGGGCGACGCCGCCCAGGCCGCCGCCTTCGTTGCCAAGCTCGACACAGCGTCGCAACATGGCCAGACCCCACCGCCCAGGCCACCGGTGCGGCGCGACGGGCAGCGCAGCAGAGGCCGCGAGGACGGCCCCACGCGCCAGGCCCGCAGCCGCAGTGAGCCCAGGGAGCGCGGGGGGGCTGCAGCGGATGCCGAGGTGGATCAGTTCTGGAGGCGCCGACGGGCTACCTGAGCCCAGCAGCCCCCCCGCAGGCGGGCGAGGCCAACAGGATGGCCCCAATGCGCAGATCTCCCAGGGCAGCGAGATCAACAATTTCACCAGTTTAGTCATCGAAAGTGGCGATGACATTTTCAGCCTTAGTTCAGATAGTACACGCACCTTTGACGATTTTGCGCCATCATGCATTGAGAGTGTCAGTGCCGCGGGAGATGCAAGACACGAGGAGGATGCCAGGCGGGGGAAGCAGGGTGTGCTAGACATTTACCTGGCCAACATCACCAGATGGAATTGGAAGGCTCGTGACTACATCCAGTCGGATGACTTCCAACGGCCTCATGTTATCATGTTTTCAGAGCTGCACGTCGAGCGCAGCCGACTCCGAGATGTACATAAGTTCATGAAGAAGCAGGGGCATCGCGCCTACCTCTGCCCAGCCGCCAAGACGTCAGCCACAGGGTCGCATGGTGGTGTAGGCATTTTCGCGCAGCGCAGTCTCTGTTCTCACAGCCGCGTCCTAGGGGCCAAGGGGCGTGAGACGCCCCTCTACGGAGGACAAGGATGGACGGCGTGCCATCTCAGGTTGAAGGGCCACAGCCCCCTCCTCATCTCCGTCTATCTTCAGAGCGATGCAGGCTACAACGAATATAATATCCAGACCACTACCCAGGTCGCCCACTTCATCAGAGCCCACAGATTGCCCTACATCATAGGCGGGGGCTGGAACATGACCAGCCAGCAGCACATCGAGGGGGGCTTCTGGGTCTCGAGCATAGGTGGGATCCCCTTGGAGCCAGAGGTTGACTCCACGTGCAAGGGGCGGGTGATCGACTATTTCATAGTGTCTCAGAAGCTCGGTAGGATCCTGAACGTCAAGCCAGATGTGGCCAGCCCATGGAGGCCCCATCTAGGATTACGAGGAGCACTCCAGACAGAGGTGCTCAGCAAGACCAGCACGTATCCAGTGGAGGCCCCAGATATCAGCAGACTGGGAGGAGCTCCACATCCAGGCCCTCGACAAGTACCCCGAGGCCCCGGCAGCTCAGCATCCCGTCGCCGAGGCCCATGTCAGCAAGGCCCTGACGCACCGTTTCGCCGTCCTCTCGCAGGCCCTCGAATGGTGGTGTGCCGTGCCAGATGACCCTCGGGCCCAACCTTTCAGGAGGGAGGAAAGGGGCGCCTTTCCCCCCAACCCTCCCGAGCCTCGCGGAGGGCCCGAGAGTCGCCGTTGGAGCACCATCCAGCAACGGGTCCGTGAACGAGACCTCGCCCGTAGACGAGATCCCCATGGCCCCAATCATCGCAGGCTCCAGCGGGTCATCGAGAAGAGCCTGAACGATCTAGATTGGAACTCCGACCTCTCCCAGGCCGAACAAAACAGCCTTTGGGGCGGCCTCAGTGTGCGATCAGGCCACCCCTTCGAGCATCATGACCTGTTAGAGCAGCAGGTCCAGTTTTTCGAGCGGCAGGCGTTGCAGGGCGCCCAGCGTGGTTTCGCCGACTGGCTGGAGACCAGCCTCAAGCAAGGGGGCGGAGCCGCCCATGCTTTCACGAGGGAGGTGGAGGTGGAGGTTACCACGGAGGAGGCAGACAACTTCATCCCGGAGGAGGAGGTTTTAACGGACCCCGTGGACATCTTCAAAGCCAAAAGTGAGATTTGGAAACGATACTGGGACCCAGAAGGTATTCGGGACACCACGCCGATCTCAGAACCCTGGATCCAGGACATTCGGCAGGAGGCCATGGAGGAGAAGAACATGGAGGAGCCCTGGACGGAGGAGGAGGTTTTCCGCACAGTCAAGAC